TGGGCATGCATTAAATCCAATCTAAAACTTGAATTTGTTTATTCGTGCCAATTGTTAATGGGGATGCAAGATGATGACTTTATTATTCAAAACCCAAAGAAAATAAGCGAGAGAGAACAAAATAACAAATCTAATGGTTGTAGTGTAAAAGCTGAGAATGTAAATAAACACGCAGGGAAAAAAATTGAAGATTCAAAGTAGGTGCATCGTGAAACACTTAGGCCTGGTTTGGTACTGAGGTGATTCTGAAAAAAGCTGGTATCAAAAAAGGCTGGGAGCTGTTTTTGTGTTTGATAAACATTCAGCTTCCGCTTTTTTTCACAGTTTTGGGTGAAAAAAAGCCAAAAACAAGAAGCTGCAAAGCCCAACTTTGAAAAACTGGTTTTTTTTTCACATCTATTTTACATAAAAGTTTACCAAACACTATAATACTGCTTTTTTTTTTTTCAAAAGCACTTTTACAAAAAAGTTTACCAAACACGCTGCTGTTTTATTTCATAGCTGCTTATTCTCACAGCACAGCAGAAGCAGCTTTTTTTTTTCAAAACACAGCAATACCAAACCAACCCTTACTCCAATTAGACACAAAAAGTGATGGTGATGAGAAGAGAGAGAAAGGGCAGTCGCTTTGACTTTTCTGGCTTTTAAAGGGAGCAGCTTTGTTCGACCATCAAAAAAAAGGGAAGCCGCTTTCGCGTGGCTGTGATTTCCCGAGTGTATGTGATTGGGTATATGGCACTTGCAATTTTTTTGTCGGTTATGGTAACGAGCGAGCTGAATATGGCAGCATGAGATTGAATTAAAAAAGGTGAGAAAAATTAAAAACATAAAAAGGTGTTCATTTTGTCACATTCTTATTACTAAAAATTCAATGAAGTACATTCATTAGTATGGTAACTTAGCTATTTAATTCCATCTCATTAAACTAAAAAAAAAACCAATTACAAAAAATAAGGGAAAACTATTTGGAAACCTTGTCTAGAGAGGCCTGAGAGAAAGTGACGACTTCTCCTCTCATTCCACTCCCTACTTGATCTCTAAAGTTCATTTAGCATGTAATTGATGTTCAATTTCAAATTTAGTGGTAGCAATTAGCAAAGCTAATGGAAGAATCAAAATGAAAGAAACAGCATCATGAAAGAAATCAAGATGAAGAATGAAATTTTGGCAACTCCCCATTTTCTTCTTTTATATAAAAGATACATCCTATTTGTAGTGAAAGCAGGTCCCGGCAACCCCAGTTATCCTCAAGAAGTATTTGTCTAACTTTAAAAACATAATCTGTGAAATTATATCTATTAGTTGAGAACAACAACAAATCTTCATGCATAGCTTGTAGAGAAAGACATCAGGCATACAAAAGAACACGCAAGCATAAAATAAACGAAGCAGGGAAAGCCAAAAATACAATTGAATACACTGTCAAAAGAAGATGAATAAATGAAAATTACAAAACAAAGAAATGATGAGAAACCAAAGTACCCATTTCATAATCTAATTGCTTTTTAGATTGACTGCCATTTTTAGTTCTTCAATTTAGAGAGAACCCATAATTCAGCACATGAATAAAGTGAAAACATAAAAGATACGTGAGATAAGCTGACAGCCAGCCATCCCTACGTAATGCATTCACTTCTAAACCCCAAACACAACAAAACAAAAATTCACACACATGAATATAATTTATAACTAAAGATCTTACTGCTCCTGATAAGATGAACAAGACGCCATTTATCGCATGCATTGCATTACAATCACAATGGAACATCTCATTAGACATCCCCACACAAAAAGTTTTTATTGCTACTTTGATTTTTGCTTATCCTTTTCCTGAAGCATGAGGGAGCTAATTTTTTTTTTTATTCCAATAACCTTATAGGGTTGCAAGGATATTATCAATTTAATTGATTGTATTTGATTGGTGGAACTTCTACATCTATATTTCTGGTTTTCAATTTTAGCACTGTGACAGTCATTCATAAAATGTTCAACAGTGAGATTACCTCCATGGATTATGCTCACAATGGACAGCTCATTTTCCGCGGTGATGGGACAGTATTTTTCAGTCATTTGCCATTCAATCAATTCAAACCGAGGAACAGGCAACATCAAGAAGAGGATCTGCCATGTCAGGATCACTGTTGTCCAATTAATACAAAAAATCGAGATAAAAACGATCAATTTACATAACAGGCTTTCATTTTCTCAACAACCAAGCAAAAGAAAATACCTATCCGATAAACACTCGATTTGGGAGTAAATGTTGCTGAAACTGGGCTTCAATCCCCTCAACCACAACAACCGAATCGAGGTGTGCAAGTCATTGAAAAACTCACCCAAGATTTCAAAGCTGCACAAAGAAATAAATAAGCACATAAATTAGCCAACCCAGAAATCAAAGAAATCAAAATCCACCCAGAATCAAAGAAATCAAAACTCATCCAGAACCAAAGAAATCAAAATCACACAAGTCATACCAATCATACCAATCACTATGTTTTCAACATGATAGCTCATTCCATAGTATGTAACATATCAAAGAATCAACGAAGCACAATATTATTCTCAAGCCACATTGATCAACTAATCTAATCATAATAATAAAAATCATATCCAACATCATTCCACAATCTTGTCCATTAATCAATTCCGCGAATCAAAGATGCATAATATTAACATTTAACTACGTTAACCAATCAATAAGATAATATATCATTTCACGAATTTAATTAAAGAACTCTACATAATTCCCTACTAGGATTATGAGTAATAACATGGCAAATCTAATTTATATTCACAAGATCTATTGTGGGATTCCCATTCACTCGAAACTAAGGTTCCAGACTAACCTTATGGAAATGAGCAAGAGTAAGGATTCCGGACCACTAAACGGAATCCAATAAAAATATGGCACCCAACGAATGTACCAAGTATAACTAATCCTCATCACACTTAGTATGTGTATGGTCCTCCATTGCAAATATACCAAGCAGAACCATAAGCACTAAGCGTGTAGGCAGTGATCACCCATCACGGATATACCCAACATAATCACCCCTGTAATACATATGATACTCCATCGTGGATATACTAAGCAGAACCATCCATGTACCACTACTACATGGTGCAGTCTCATAATCACACATTATACATAATTATACGCACACACACTATCGATTCCACATGTCAACCAAGCATCTAGTCATATGGAGCACAATACAAGGAATTCCCTTAATTACTATTTCTACTAAAAATCTAATAAAGTACCTGACTCATCTTCTAACTTTCATCTCTATCTCATGATAGGTAGTAATGCTAAGTTCAGATAGACATTCCGTTGGCAATTATATCCAAATAATTATCAAACAATATTTAGATCCCATAACAATACGACTAATAAAGAATAATACTAATAATGGGATTTCCCTAGAACTTCCCACCTCGTGTTCGACTACCTTTATCAACACAAGTCCTCCAAACTTTCTAGCACAACACCCAAATCTAAACCAATTTACAAAAGCATGAACAAATGAAAACAAACACAAGTAAACGCATATTAGCAAGCATGGAAGTGAGTAATTACAATTTATTAACTTGTGTAGCATAGGCATTATTTTAGTACAACTTATACTTCAAATAACAACACTAGTATAAAGCAAAGTAATTTAAAGAAAGACTCAGATAAGAATTGCATAATGTAGAAATAACACTCTTCTTCTATACAAAAGTTGCATGTAACTGCTTTGATCAACCAAGTTTAAGCTCATAATGAACGCTCAAACTTGAACCAAATGGTACCATCTTAAATGGTTTTTGGAGGCTTGTTTTGTGTACTTTAAAATCATATAATAGTCGTAGAGAACGGAGCCCTAAATTGAAAGTTATTCCAACTATAAAATGGAGTCCCAAAACTGGAAATACAAAACTTGCTGCTGTCTGGCAGCCCTGTGACTCAACTTTGGACATGATTTTTGATCAATCAAAATTCAACAGAATTAAGTGAAATCAGAAGGGTTTTGATCATGGACATGTCTATTTTCAAAACACACAATATTAGATCAAAAGGAACTCACAAGGACATAGAAATCAAGAGCCAAAGTAGGCTACTTGAAACATAGTTTCTCTCTGCAAAATGAATAAGTTTTGTGCAATGTAGAACCCATACTCGTTTAATCCAATTTACAATTTCAGGGCAATCCCAAACTATCCAGGCATCATATTTAACTTCCATTTCAATGTGTTAGCTTACCCATATCATGCATAATCCTTCCTCTTTTAGCCAAAGACTACAAACAATTCACCAAAGACTACAAACAATTCAATAAAATTAAAGTATGTACCTTTTCTTGTTCTTGTCCTGCCCTCCAAACTCCTCCAAAGTTGTTCATCAATCTACCACTTAGCTACTAAAGCTCTTAAATCAATGTCACCACAACTCCTCAACAAGAACACCGGAGATTCAAGTTTAACACATAAATCTCAAACTTGTTCGAAAATGAAACTTGAAATTCGGAAGATCCACTTACATATCCTGGAAGCTCATAAAGAGGGGAGTATTTTTCTCTCTTGGGTCGAGACCTATCCCCAGCGAGGTTAGCCAGAATCGGCGAAAAAAACTACGAAAATCGTCAAAGCTTCTGGGCTTCAACATATGGGCACGCTTGGTTCCAGCATATGGGTTTGGTATCAAAATGAAAAGGGCTGCGCTACGCATACATAGACTTCGACCATGCGTGATTTCATTGCCGTACGAAAAAGTTATGATTCAATGAAGTTTTTGGAGTGAAGGAGAATTAAAGAGGAGAAGAACACAGCAGCAAAGCTGCTGGTTTTGCACACAGGGAAGAAGAAAAAGGAAGCCATTGGCTTCCAGAAAGTTCCACTTTAATTTACCAAAATGTCATTTTATTTAGAAAATTTGTAACCTTCTCATTCGAATTTCAAACTTTAATCCGTTTGCGCGTTTATAGTTACATGTAATATCTAAATAGGCCAAGAACAATAGAAAAATATGAAAGAATCAAATACGTCTATGTAAAATCCCGTTTAGCACAAGAGGGGCATTTTCATCTTTTACCCATTAAAAAAAAAAAAAAAACAGACGCCACACATATAAACGCGTCAAAACTAGGAATACAAAATACCTTATTTTAAACAATGAAATCCAAGCACGGGGTTTCACAAGAACACCTCTTATTTCTGCCACTCCTCCCATCTTTCAGCCAAACCATTGCCTTCCAGCATTTGGACAACCTCTGACATCTTGGGCCGTTCCCTTGGGGAGTCTTGTGTGCACAGTAGAGCTACTTGGATCAGCTGCTCTACTTGATCGTAAATATAGTTTCTATTTAGATCAGAATCAACAAGTGTTTCTAACCTCCGATTTTTCAGTAACCGTTTGACCTAATTTTTTTAGTCAAAATAATAAGGAAAATGTCAGCTAGTTCTACAATTTGAAACAAAAGCTGAGGGCACCTAGGAGAGTAAAATGTAATGTTCAAAATTTGAAGGGCCATAGTTCTCTCCGTTTTCTCCAGAAAATCAAACTTCTTACAAAAATGTATCGTCATTCAAATATTGGTATGATGCAAAGATAAGACAAAGATGCAAATAGAGAGAATAGAAAGAAACAAGAGGCCAAGATAGTGAGAATAAAGAGATGATGAATTCAAATTCTTCAAGAAACATATGCCAAATTCTTCAAGAAATCACAGCAAGGTCAATATATTGGCAAAGGAAGCAACAATAATAGTAACAAAGGAAATGTAAAAATTAATCTCTGACAAATTAAACGTTAGACTATTATACATAAAGATAAATAAATCTTCACAGCTTAATCATAACTCTAACTAATAAAAGCTAATTAAACCATACTTATTTTCTAAAAGCTAATTAGTTTTTTTTTCTTCGATCCATGATTCTAACTGCTTTCAACATTTCGGCCAAAAAAGACAAGCGATTTATACATTAATCAAACAGGAACTTGGCAGCTGCATAAAGAGTAATAGTTTTTTAAAGTATCTTTAGAAAGAACTAAATTGATTGCAGAAATGTTCCATACAGAATGATTTAGAACGTCATAAGAGATTAGCGGTTTGAAATAAAATCATTAAATAAGGAGACCCATTATTTTCAGCTAAAATAAAAAGCAACACTGGTAACGAGAGAGGCTTCTAATTTACAGTACATTATATAACATTTCTACAACAATCTGAGTATTGAAACTTTGATAATTTCCAAGATTTGGACTTAGGGACACAAAATAGATTGAAGCTAGAATATCGTTGAATTTCAACAACATTATGTCTTTTTTGATATAAAGTATGAAAGATATTATGGAAGATTTAGAATGATAATACATAATCAGAAGGTGGACCTCATGCAAATGTTGTTGGGAAATAATCTTGCATATAACAATAAGTTAGTTACATACACAAACAGAAAGACGTAAGTGCATACCCAATCAACTAACATGAGATTATCATCACTCGCAAGCTGAGGATCAAAACCCCTCTGCCCAGTGATGAGTTCAAGAAGCATGACTCCGTATCCAAAAACATCAGTTTTCTCGGAAAACCTTCCATATGAAAAGTACTCTGGTGCTATATGACCAATTGTGCCACGTACAGCTGTGGTAATATGTGTATCCTTGTAGTTCATGAGTCTAGCCAACCCAAAGTCTCCAACAACTGCTTCGAATTCCTCGTCCAACAATATGTTTGCCGCTTTCACATCACGGTGAATAATTTTTGGATCACAGTGATCATGTAGATAAGCAAGGCCTCTTGCAGATCCCAATGCAATGTGTTGTCTTATTGGCCAATCAAGTGCAAGTTGTCCTTCTGGACGATCTACAACAATATATCCACATACTATGAGAGGAGAATTTCAAATTACAAGCAACAAGTAGTGTGGTCTAACGCATATCATACCACCTGTCCTACCCAAAAAAGGGTCATCTTGTCATTCTTTTCAAATTAAACAGAAATAAATAAATCAGCATCAAGAAGGTAACTTAAATTTGTTGAATTATAAGTCTCTAGCTGATTAAGTATTAGAAATAAGATGAGTTTTAATGTGTGTATTCACTTGAGCATATCTGCCAAGTGTAAGGTTAAATGATGTAAGGCCATGAGTGCCATGTGGTATTTGATCCATGTAATTAGGTTGATGAGTGACTAAGATTAAAAGTAGTGTTTTGTGTGGTCCTAAAGCTAAGGCCATCAATTAAATGTAAAGCAGTGTGAGTGCGCATTGTGTGTGCTGTACAAAGATTATTCCTCTGCAATACTTTTGCATGAGAGAACAAGAAAGAAAAACTTTTTTGGTTCAACTTCTTTTGGTTTTTTGTTTTCTTGTTTTTGTTCAGCCTTCTGGAAATTAAAACCCAGCAAAAATCAAGTTACACTAACATGGCCTCAGAGCCTTGTTTCGATTAGATCTGGGCGTGCTTCTGTGAGCTCAAACATCACCGTTTCTGGACTCGGTGAAGTTTGCCGGAGCTTATCTGTGATCTAAGAACTACGTGTTTCTGGATTCACACAAGCTCACGATGGCTGGATCTGGGAATGCTGAAGTGAGGACCCCGATCTTCTCCGGTGAGAATTACGAGTTCTGGAGAATCAAAATGGTTACCATTTTCAAGTCATATGGACTGTGGAATCTGGTGGAAAAAGGGATTCCGGTTTCTGATTCGAAGAAGAAGAAAGCTAAGACTGATGAAGATACAGATGTTGATGCTGACGATGATGAGAAAATGGCTGCAACCTTCATGAAAGATGCAAAAGCTCTCGGAATCATTCAAAACGCAGTCTCTGACCAGATTTTCCCTCGAATCGCAAACGCAGACTCAGCAAAAATGGCATGGGATCTGTTATATGGCGAACATCACGGTGGGGATCAGGTAAGATCTGTGAAACTCCAGAATCTTATAAGAGAATTCGAATACACTAGAATGCGTGATGATGAATCCTTGACTGGGTATCTTACTCGGTTAAATGATATGATTAATCAAATGAAAACGTTTGGTGAAACTATGTCAAATGAGAGATTAGTACAGAAGGTATTAATCAGTCTCACTAAGATATATGATCCTATATGCTTAGTGATAGAAAATACCAAATGTTTAGAATCTGTTGAACTGCAAGAGGTACTAGCTATATTGAAGAGTCAAGAGCAGAGGTTTGATTTGCATTCCTCAGATGCAACTGAGAGAGCATTTTCTTCTCTTACTGTTAGTTCAAAAGGGCAGAATCGAAGTTATGCTCAGTCTAGTACTTTTAAACCACAGAGAAATTGGAATCAAAAGGGTAAGAAATGGGATTCAAAACCAAAGTTTCAGCAAAAATCATACACAAATGTTGCACAGAATAGTACTTCCTCACAGGGTATGGGTCAAGAGAGTGTAAAACCTCAATGTAAGGTGTGTTCAAAGTTTCATTATGGTGAATGTAGATATAAGGGGAAATCCAAGTGCCATAACTGTGATAGATTTGGTCATTGGGCCAGAGAGTGTACTGTTGGAAAGTCTGTTCAAAAGGCAAACTGTGCAAGTCAAATGGAAGTAACAGGAAACTTATTCTATGCAAATTGTGCAGTTGCTGAGACTAAGGTTAATGGAGATTGGTACATAGATAGTGGCTGCAGTAATCATATGACAGGAAATGTTGATCTTCTTGTTGATGTGAATACAAATGTTGCAGGGAAAGTTCAAATGCCAACAGGAGGGTTAGTTAATGTGGCAGGAATGGGATCATTGGAAATTGAGACTAACAGAGGAAGAAAATACATTCAAGAAGTCATGTACCTACTTGGTTTGAAAGAGAATCTATTAAGTGTAGGACAAATGGATGAGCACGGATATTATCTTGTGTTTGGTGGACATATGTGTACTGTTTTTGATGGTCCTTCTCTGAAATGTCAAATTATCCGTGTAAAAACGAAAGAAAACAGGTGCTATCCTATATCTCTAAGGCCTGAGAAGCAACTTGTGTTGAAGACCAGTTTTGCTCATTGTTCTCTGACTTGGCACAGAAGATTAGGCCACCTACACTTTGGTGGAATCAAGAAATTGAAGGATAATGACATGGTTCATGGATTACCATATCTAGATGAGTATGACAAAGTGTGTGAAGGCTGTCAATATGGTAAGCAACACAGAGAAAGGTTTCCTAGTGGTCAAGCACAAAGAGCTGGTGCTCCACTTGAATTGGTTCATGTAGATCTGTGTGGACCGATGAGAATTGAGTCTACTGGAGGAAACAAGTACTTCATGTTGCTTGTAGATGATGCAACCAGGATGACATGGGTGTATTTTCTTAGATTCAAATCTGAAGCTTTTACTTGTTTTCAGAAATTCAAGGCCATGACTGAGTTGCAAAGTGGAATGAAGGTAAAATGTGTAAGGAGTGATAGAGGAGGGGAGTTCTTATCAAATGAATTCAAGCAATACTGTGACACAGAGGGAATCCAAAGGCAACTGTCTCTCTCTTACACTCCACAGCAAAATGGAGTGGTTGAAAGAAAAAACAGAACTGTGATTGAAATGGTCAAGTCTATGCTTCATGACAAAGGAATGCCTTACTGTATGTGGGCAGAAGCTGTGCATACTGCTGTCTATCTGTTACCAAATCACTGGATAGTATAACACCTTTTGAAGCTTACAGCAAAAGGAAACCAGGTATTGCTCATTTGAAGGTTTTTGGATCAGTTTGTTATGTCCATACTCCATCCGAGTTAAGACACAAGCTAGAACCCAAGAGTATAAAAGGAGTCTTTGTTGGATATGCAAAGTGTGAGAAAGGGTATAGAGTATTTGATCCAATCTCTAAGAGACTGATTCTGTCAAGAGATGTTGTGTTCGATGAAAACTCAGCTTGGGAATGGGAAAGAAGCACAGAAAGATATATGTCACTGCCTACTTATGAATTTGACTCTGTTGATACACAAAGAAGTGAAAATGCAGAAAATGACCCTCAAGTTTCAAGTGATTTATCATCTGGCATATTGGAAGAAGCTGCAAGTGGTATTGATGATACACAGATCAACTCTCAGTCAAGTGCAGGTGTGAATGACACTCAGTTTTTTGATCATACTCCATTAAAATGGAGAAAGCTGGATGATGTTCTTGCTCAGTGTAATCGGTGTATTATAGAACCAGAGAAATATGAAGATGCAACTAAGGATGAATCTTGGATGAATGCTATGAAGGATGAGCTCTCCATGATTGAAAAGAATGAAACCTGGAAGTTAGTAGACAAGCCAAGTAACAAGCCTGTAATTGGAGTAAAATGGGTGTTTAAAACCAAGCTCAACCTGGATGGAACTGTGCAAAAGAACAAGGCAAGGCTTGTTGCAAAGGGATATGCACAGAAACCAGGAATAGACTACAATGAGACCTTTGCTCCTGTTGCTCGATTAAATACAATCAGAACCCTTATAGCATTGGCTGCACAAAAGAGCTGGAAACTCTATCAACTTGATGTCAAATCGGCTTTTCTAAATGGTGTTCTAGAGAAGGAGGTTTATGTGGAGCAGCTTGATGGTTTTGTAGCTAAAGGGGAGGAAGACATGGTATATAGACTTCACAAAGCCTTGTATGGTTTAAAACAGGCACCACGGGCCTGGTATGGAGAGATCAATACATACTTCTTACAATGTGGTTTCACAAGAAGTTTAAGTGAACCAACATTATACATCAAGGCAGAAGAGAAAGACATTTTGATTGTGTCGATCTATGTGGATGACATAATCTATACTGGGAGCAACAAACAAATGCTTGAAGAATTCAAGGAAGACATGACACGAAAGTATGAGATGACTGATTTGGGTCTTCTCCATCATTTCCTTGGAATGAGAATAATTCAATCAACTTCAAGCATTTTCATCCACCAAAAGAAATATGCAAGCTCTTTGTTAGACAAATTTGGTCTAAAAGAGTGCAAACCTGTGCTTACTCCAGTGGTTGCAACTGAGAAGTTAACCACGGATGATGGAAGTGGTGCAGCAAGTGAAGAGTTATACAGAAGCATGGTGGGAAGCCTCTTATATCTCACTGCAACCAGGCCTGATATTATGTATGCATCCAGTCAGTTAGCCAGATTTATGCACTGCCCTACCAGTAAGCATGTTGGAATTGCTAAAAGAGTGCTAAGATACATTAAGGGTACACTTGATTATGGTCTAGAATATGTGAAGGGTAAGAACTCAATGTTAATTGGGTTCTGTGACAGTGACTGGAGTGGATCAATTGAGGACAGTAAAAGTACTTCTGGTTATGCTTTCTCTTTTGGCAGTGGAGTATTCTCTTGGGCATCTGTGAAGCAAAATTGTGTTGCTCTTTCCACTGCAGAAGCAGAGTACATCAGTGCTTCAGAAGCAACTACTCAAGCCATTTGGTTGAGATTTGTTCTTGAAGACTTTGGAGAATTTCAAACCGAAGCCACTCCAGTGCACTGTGACAACACCTCAGCAATTGCAATCACCAAGAACTCTGTGTTCCATCAAAAGACCAAACACATTAACAGAAGATACCATTTCATCAAGGATGCACTGAAGGATGGCATCATTGATCTGGTGTACTGTCCAACTAATGAGCAACTTGCTAATATCTTCACAAAACCTCTGCCTAAAGATCGGTTTAATTATCTCAGGAGCATGCTAGGAGTGAAATCAGCTCAAGACTTAAAGGGGAGTGTTGAATTATAAGTCTCTAGCTGATTAAGTATTAGAAATAAGATGAGTTTTAATGTGTGTATTCACTTGAGCATATCTGCCAAGTGTAAGGTTAAATGATGTAAGGCCATGAGTGCCATGTGGTATTTGATCCATGTAATTAGGTTGATGAGTGACTAAGATTAAAAGTAGTGTTTTGTGTGGTCCTAAAGCTAAGGCCATCAATTAAATGTAAAGCAGTGTGAGTGCGCATTGTGTGTGCTGTACAAAGATTATTCCTCTGCAATACTTTTGCATGAGAGAACAAGAAAGAAAAACTTTTTCGGTTCAGCTTCTTTTGGTTTTTTGTTTTCTTGTTTTTGTTCAGCCTTCTGGAAATTAAAACCCAGCAAAAATCAAGTTACACTAACAAAATTGAAGGAAAAAAAATATTAAAAGAAATCAGTGTTGATACTCCAAACCAAATTGGTCGGGTTTTTAAATTCATTTTATCAATGAAATCCATAAAAAATTTAATGTTGTGAAAACAAAAAGATTTATCAACGCAGCAAACAATTTGGATGAGTACCTCTTAAACATGATGCCACACTTCCATTAGCCATATAAGGATATACAAGCAGCCTTTCTGTTGGTGTCATGCAAAAACCATGCAGACGAAGCAGATTGCGGTGGACACCCATGCTAATCATTTCAACTTCTGTTTGGAACTGTAGCTCCCCACCTTGGGTTCTCTCCTCTTTAAGTCTTTTTACAGCAACCAGAGTTCCATCTGCTAAGCATCCCTTATAAACCTTACCAAATCCACCTCTACCAATAATATTTTTGTTGCTAAAGGTATCCGTCGCAACTTGTAGCTCGCGCAAAGAAAACCTTTTGAGCTGTCGTAAATGAATTTCTCGATCCTCCTGAGCTGCAAAGACAGTAGATTAGTGAAACCTGCATCCCATACAACAACTACAACACCAACTTGATCAAGCTATATTACTCTTATAGTTCACTAACCAGGTTCATTTATTTGTAAATGAATTTCTCGATCCTCCTGAGCTGCAAAGACCGTAGATTAGTGAAACCTGCATCCCATACAACAACTACAACACCAACTTGATCAAGCTATATTACTCTTATAGTTCACTAACCAGGTTCATTTATTTGTAAATGAATTTCTCGATCCTCCTGAGCTACAAAGACCCTAGATTAGTGAAACCTGCATCCCATACAACAACTACAACACCAACTTGATCAAGCTATATTACTCTTATAGTTCACTAACCAGGTTCATCAAATAAATGATCCTGTGATTTTCTTCGTCGCCAATAAGCAAGTGCAATTGCAGGTGCAGCAAACAACAAAGCAGCACCAGCAACAACCCCTTCAGCAATAGCCGCATTATTAGTGGCACGGTGCGAGTTCGTAATTCGTTTGTAACCTATGGTACTATTCGTTAGAGAGTATACATAGACAATATAATATTCAAATTGATTCATTCTCAATTCGTTAAAAAATAAAAATTAAAAATATTTATAATACATATACATTTTACAATAATTTATAGTTATTGTTCATTGTAAGAAATTATTTTTGTTTAATAGAATTGATTATTTGTAAGCAATTATTTTACAAATCAAAAACAATTAATTCACTTAACTTTCTAATAAGAATAATATAAATATTCTCAAATTAATATGGAATTTGGCAAATGCAATGGGCCACCGACTATTTACATCTTCTCTAAAAAAATCAACACTGCAGATGGGTCCCTCTATTAATACAAGAAGAAAAGAGTGTTGATAGACCTATTCCATTGAATTTTTTTCTTGTGTCCGTAACATAAATGGTGTACCACATGTTATTATATAAATGGTGAAAATTTTTATTTTTTATATCATTAATATTTTAACACAAAAATCTCACCACTTGTACAGACACGTAATCTCTCCACCCCATTGCAAATCTCTAACAGTTTTATCTGGTGAAAATTCGAAAAAAGAGGTGAAAATTAACAACCTTGGAAGCCACAGTCATTGGGTTTGTTGGAGAGTTGTAGATAGCAAGAGATCTGCTTCCTCAATTCAAGAAATTTCGTTCGAATCAAAAGAATTAAATCCAAAAAGCGAAAGTAAAATTTTCTATCTTCCTCTCTCTCTTCGTTTTCTGTCTGCCCGATGAAAACCAAAAGTACCGAGCTTCCCAAAATTCCAGTTGTTTCACTCCTCTGTTTCCAAAAATTACAGGTGCGTTTACTTTTCTCAGTTTCTGTAATCTGATTAGAAATTATTAGAGATGATCAGATGAACCACTAAATTCAACACCGAATCGCTAAAGTAATGGTACGTCCGTACCGATACGAAATCCGGACACTATTTCACCGAATCCGGCACCTAATATGAATCACCAGAGTTAAAAAGGAAGGGTTATTTGCACAACATGAACCAGAACGAGATGAAAATCCTTAAAAGTCGGATGTTATATGATGAACTCTCTCTCACATGTCATTGTTTTAATTCATTTCTTCACACTCATAGGAATTTAGGAGTATCCCCTCGGATCCTCAATCCATTCCTTTCCTAACTAGCATCTTCTTAGAATCTTTACAGCAGTGATTCCAACAATAATGTTGTACCATGAAAAAAATTTAACAGAAAAACACCAAGAAAAAACATTAACTACCAATGGACTGGAGTCGATATCACAAGTGTCTGTGAAACAAAACAGAGCCAGCCGGAAAGTAATAAGTTTAGGATTTGAGGTCAGCCGTTAAAATTAGGATTTGTTAGAGATTAGGGTTATAGTTTATTATAAATAGGATGCCTGTTATTCCTCTTAGAACAAATATGTCACAATGTAGTCTTTTAAAATTTTGTAACCATTGTAGCATTTTTATTTGTTTAATAATATTCTTATTTTGTAGTATAGTACTCTGATGTTCTCAAAACAAATTTGAGTTAATATCACAAGAACAGTATAAGTTGTAAAAACCTGGATGTGGAGAGGCTGGAAGTAGATTCAGACGAGGATTATTGGCAAAACTGCAAAATGAAGAATAGCAGCCAGTCCATCATTCAGATCGTCCGCTGGGACGGCCACCGCCGGAAAAAGGTAAAGAAAAAAAATAAAGTGGGTTCAACAAACCTGACGCGAGTAAAAAGTGAAAAAGATCCATTGACTAGAATATCCCCTGACAGATTATTATTTGAAAGATCCCTGCATTCCATGGCAAAACTATATGTTATTTGCATGCTCTGATGGCAGAGAAATTAGTAACTTTTCTCTCTCTCCTCCCTCTTACTGCGATGAAAGTGTATGAAACTCACAGGACTTGCAATGATTGGATGTTAGTCAAAGTCTCGGGAATATTCCCTGACAAGTTGTTGGATAGACGCCTATTTCATGGAACAGAAGGTGCTAATTAAATCACAAATAATCGCAACAACAGCAGATATTATATTTGCGACATTAAGTTTTTTTTTTTTTTTTTTTTTTTTACCATTTTTCTAGTCGCTATATAGACATTACAAGAGTATACGAGTTCTGAGTACGCATAAAGTACATATGAAGTTATGGACAAAAATACACAGAACAATAAGCACTCAAAATCCCATAACTCCATAACTCCATAACTCTATAAGATGTGAGGGTTCCTCACAGATTTCCCTTCTATTTCCCCATAAAGTACATAAAGTACGTGTGGGAAACTTTCAAGATGTGAGGGTTCACCCACTCTGGGTACAGAATTCCTTCCTATTTCCCCTTAAAATTAAAATTATATAATACAAAAACAACTGAAACACTGTTTATCCTGCTTGATTTGTTTAATTTCGTTTGGACCATTTCACACGTGTTGGTGATCGATGCTTCCTTTCTCTTTTCCTCTTTTCTATACTCTTTTGCTTCATCTTTTTCTATCGAAGGGGATGAAAACACCCCTCATTTTCCATCGACTTCTCTTTCTCTGTCTCACAACCAGCCACACCATCCATTCTCTCAAAATTCCAAAAATCTTAAAACCTCATTTCCTCTAGCCAAAAAATCGCAATCACCCTTCACCCGTGGGAAGAAAATTTGCAACGGAACTCCGCCGCTCCCAATTCGAGAATTCCTCACTCTAACTCCGAATACCAACAAGGTATATCTCTCGCATATAATTTTGAATTTTTGGAATTTATCTTCAAAGAATGCATTTTTAATTTCAAATCAAACTTCAAGTTTTTAATATTTTGGGGATTGTGGGATTAATTTTTGCAACAGAAGCCGGAAGACTGAAGATCGCATTTTGGATTCTAATTTCGCAGACTTTGTCGAGTTGCTGCTTGAGGTGTGATTTTACGGCTGAAATTCCCAAGCTTTTTTTATTAGTCTTAAACCAGATTACTTAATTATACTAAAATTAACCTTTTTCTGTTATGTAGCTGAAGCAGCTAAAGTTGAGTGTTTTAATTAGTTGTATATGTCACCCAGTTTACTCGTTCCTACTGCTGCTCAACAGGGATGAGTTTCACAGCAGGTGAGTGGAAATTCTGGGCTGTTCTTAATTTTCTATTTTCTGATTGAAATTTGATGATAGATCTGATTCAATCGGAAGACTAAGCTAAAAGTACAAGTGGTATTTTTTGGTTAATTGGTTGGGTTTTTGGATGGCTCTTATGGGTTGTTAATTGTATGTTTTCTGAATGAATTTGGCATCAATTAATCCAACGGATTAGTGAGCTACAACTACAAGTGGGCTTGTTTTGATTTTTGGGTTTTTTAATTTTCTGTTGTTTTATTGAATTGGATTTTATTCAACGGGGTTGGTGAACTAAAAGTGCAGTTGGGTTTGTTTTGGTTTTGAAGCTCAGAGTCTTACATATTTGAAAGTTGAATCTAAGCCTTTCAAAACCTTTGTAAACGTGGTGTCAATTGTAAGGTGTTACATGCAACAGAGCTTGATTGCCCAGTACATTTAACTCTGCTTCAATTTGTTCATCTTCTTTTGCATTTCTATGCATTTTTTTGCAAGCCCAAATGATTCAAAATTGAAATTTATGTGTACATTGATAAGTGTGGGTGTGAATGTTCTTCATTTGCCTACTCTTTTTAATTTGGTGTTTTCAGTTTTTTCTGTTTTTGGCAAAATAAATAAAATTAGTACGTGTGACTTAGTTCTATTAATGGATCCCTAATTCTAATAAATTAGAAATTCTCAACCTTGATATGATTTTTGGTGTTTTCATTTTGTTTGTCGCATTTTGTTGTTCTTGCCTAATTGTTATTTAATTAGTTTTGGTTTATAACTTTGGATAGGTGCAGCAGTTTCAGATTTTGTGTATCTCATTTTGGAAGTGATTCATAGGTGCTCTATAAAGGTTAGTCTTATACTCATTTTTCAAATGAACACAAAGTCATCTTCTCTACCAGGTTAGTATGTAGCATCACAATTATGCTATATATATGTATATGTATATGTATGTATATTCTTTCGTTGTGCTACATTCATTTTTATCATCGGCAACATGAACACCTTAGGTTTTATGGAATGCTTTAAAAGATCATAAGAGCAAACTAACAGATTGGTCAATTCATGTATTGAGGGATGTATATGGACATAGAAAGTAATGAATGTTTAAATTTCTGTTAGATAATTTTACAATTATGTAGAATATCATAAAAAACTGAATAGTATTAATTGGATACAAGAATATTATTGAATTTCCTATGTAGCTTAAAATTTCTCAAATCCTATAATTTAAATACTTTTGCCTACTTAATATACCTCCTTTTTATTTTGGTTTTGTGTTGAATTTTACTGTTTTGCAATTTGGATTTTTTCTGTACGTTACTGAGTTCGAATATTTTTATATAGGTGATTTAATTTTTCTTGCATTTGAAACAAAAAAAAAAAAAAAAAAAGTGATCTTCTATTTTTCTGACATTTACATCATGTTCTTATATTTTGCATCTCAGAAGGGCAGATACACTCATGAATCCCAACCGCCTTGCATAGGAGTAAAAAAGATTGACCACAGGCAGAGGTAAAAAGATTTTTAATCTTTCATGAAGTTTTCCATTGTTGTTAGACTATTTATTAGATTTTTGGCTTCTACATAATTTAAAAAAACCATAATTGGCAGATGGTTTTATACTTGACCAAATTGTTAAAATTATTTCATGACGAGGCTGAAAAGGCTGGGGTGTTCCATTTGCTTCCAGTACATTCTTCCAACCCAGTTCCAGTTCTCTCTCGCCAGTTTTCAAGAAGCACAGCGTGAGTTTCTCTTCTTTTTCTTAATTATAGAGTATTCAATTAGCATGTGTGATTGTATTGTTAACATAAGGGACCTCTTTAAATTTTTTAGGGAGTTTTAACAAAAAGCCCACGGTACTGTTCACTTTAACGAAAAACCACATTTTTACACTAAAAAGTCAAACATGGTACCATTCACTTTACTCTTTATTTTGTTCATATCATTAAAACTCAAAGTTTTCAAGCTATTATCATTAGTTTTCCTAATTTTTTATCGTTTACTGACCAATTGCAGGTAGATGGTATGCTCACAGAACTTGACTGCTTGCTTCTTCAGATGCCTTCCGTGCAATGTTTCATGG